TAGGGGGACAAGTTTAGCTGGATCAGTCTTTCTGGGTATGACAGAGTCCTGAGATCGTCCACCAATTTTGTAGCCCGTCGTTGCACCTGCTCTATGGCATTACTGTCTTCGTCATCCAGGACGTCCATGCCGGAATTTCGTATTCCAAATTCGGTCTGGCGAAAGTGCCAAATATTTGTGAGAAGAGTGTGGGAAGAAAGATTGTGAAGGCACGCCTAATCCAGCGTATGATTCTGGTTGCCTTTCGGACGACTCAATTGCAGTGCTCGGAGGACAGCAAGTTTAAACTAGTGCAGACACCTAGGTCGTTGTGTCCGTCCACTTATTTTAGTGGAACCCCATTTATGCTGTACTGGTGTTTTGGGAAGCGCCTCCGACTGGATTCTAGGGGCAAGACTACACATTTGGATACTTTAAACGCTATAAGCCAATTGATGGACCATAAAGCCAGCTTATTAACATATTCCTGTAGTTTTTGCGAGTTTTCAACACGACTGATTGTCTTCTAGATCCTTATATCATCTGCAAACATGATACTATCGCACTCAAGGCCTGCAGGACAGTCGTTTATATAGATGAGGAGGATAGGACCCCAGACTGAACCCTGTGGAACGTCGCTTTCTGCTGGCACCCGTTCGGATGCATTCTTACCAAAAATCACACTTTGAAGCTTGCAGGGCAGGAAACTTTTAATCCACTTAAAAGTGTTGCCCTGTATAACAAACTTGCAGATCTTCTCTAGAAGTCGTCCATGAGGAACGCTACAAAATGCCTTCTTAAGGTCAGAGACGATGACATCCACCGATCGGCCCTGGTCTATGTCATTTGTCCATTTTTCCTACGAGTAAATGCTGTTTGTAAGACATGAGTAACCACGACGAAATCGGTGCTAAGCAGCATACAATCCGTCCCTCTGCTCCAGATACGATATAACATGTCCTTCAATAGGTCTTTCCATGACCTTGCACAAAATGCAGGTTAAACAAGTAGGATGGTAATTTTCGGACTCCGGCATGGATTCTCCTTTATATAATAGTGATATATGGGTCGCTTCCCATTCCTCCGACAGTTCAACTTCTTCCATAGACATCTGAAACATCATGGACACCAGCTCACACAGTACGTCAGCTAATTCTCCAAGGACAAGTGGATAAATTCTCTCTGGACCAGCTGATTTGACAGGCTTCTGCCGGCGTAGTTCGGTCCTTATCAACGTGATTGAGAAGGGAAGATTGTCTTCCAGTGCAGGAGAGGAAGGATTTTGTTGTTGGTCTAAGTAAGGCATAGGAGGAGGATTTTTCTCATGAGTGAATAGCGACTGAAAGAAACTTGAGAAGGCGGAGGCTTTCATGTGATCAGCTGTCTAACTTAATCCGCTTTGAGACCTCAGCGCTGTAATCGAGTCGCGATTCCTCTTGCCATTACGTATGTAACTTTGGAGGATTTTAGGACACGCCAGAGAGTTTCGAAGTATGCGTAGCTCATAATTGTTTCGAAGTCTATTAGCATCGCGTTTACACACATTCCGCTGTCGCTTGTATTCGTTCAGGTGTTCAGAATTCTCTGTTTGTCGATAGAGTCTCCGCACTCTTTAACGCAGTTTGCGGTTCCCGATTTATCTAGGGCGGACGGTTGCTTGCTTTCTTCCGTTTGAGTGGACAGTTTAAATTAACGAATCCTTTGAACAGCGAGCTGAACGTGCTCCAGTAGTCATTACCTGTTCCCTGCAATGTGGCTGTCCACGGTATTGTCGAGACTTGCGTTCGCATGATGGAAAAATCCCTCTTCCAGGTATTTGTTTGTAACTGTTCAGGTGAATCCGGTTGGGAGAACATGTAATACTCGAAGAGCATCACGATATGAACACTAGCTCCAATTGACGGGAGATCTTGTATATCCAGCACACTATCCTCATCTAGAGTGAGCACAATGTCGAGGCAATTTGAACGTTGCCCTTCCATACTACGAGTTCCGAGAGTAATATTCTGTAAATGTAGTTTTCCTGCTGCCCATTCATGCAAATGTTGTCCGAATGTGTTCGATGGACCCGAGACCGTCCAAGCTTACCATTCGATATTGGGGCGTTAAAGTGCCGACAATAAGAACGTCTCTGGTTGAGCAGGTCTTGTTCAGTTCCCTTACGAGAAGGCTATTGTGTTTGACAATTCGCAAACGCCAGTGGCCGGGTGTATATAGTGGAGATAGTTAAAGATAAGAATTCCACTTAAGCTGTTGTTTTTTTGGATTTTGCTCAGGAACCGCGGTAAGGTCGTAGTTAACATAGACAGCGACCCCTCTTCCTCGGCTCTTCTTGTCTCTCCTAAACAGTTGGTTGCCTCTTAGGGATACCTCATGATCTCTAATAGCTTCAGAAAGCCACGTGTCTGCAAAGGCGATGATATCTGACGTGCGCTCGTCGATCTGTTTGCGCATTCGCCTAAGCTGCTCTGGAGAGCACTATGAGTAGCTAAGGGAACTTGAAGACGTCGGTGGACAGGGTGAACTAGTTTATCAGACTTTGAAACAAGAGATCCATCGTAATTTACATTTGGAGATGCTGGCGCGTTACCCCCTTGCGTCATCCTTTAGGTTGTCTTGCGAAGAAACCCGACCTGTCTTTATACCATGCTTCGTTCCTGTATCCTGTGCCACCGGTATCCAGATATGTGGTTAGTAAATCTCTACCTGTACTCTGAGATACCTCCGGGACGACATTACTTTTTAGCTTTTCGCTTTATACGTTTTGTCCCTTTGGCTCCTGCAATGGCAAGCTTCTTGGCACCAATGTTCTGCTGCATGAGCGCGAGCTTTCAAGGAATGAAACCAAGGCCTTTAAAGATAGTTTTAGAAAGTAAACTCCAGAGGGATCTTCTACATGAACGAACAGTAGGGGGGATCTCTGGTCATAGAGGTCTTTTTTTCAACCGGATTACTCAGTACAAGAGAGAATGAAATAGAGGGTGTTGAAGGCGGAGCTGGCGACCTTGAAAGAACAAGGAGAGAAGGGACTAGTAATGATTAACGGAGTGATTGTTCGACGACAAAGGTCCCTCCTGTGGAGGACGCCTGTCATACTGACGAAGACCACACGGCCGGGCAAATAATTCGACGCAAAAACCTACATGAAATTAAGTTCTTCTACGGAAATGGACAAAGCCTCTTGGACAAACTAGACGAACTTTAAATAATTGTGGCCGAACTATATCCTGATGTTATTGCATTAACTAAAACGTGCCTCACCCCAGATGTCACAGACCCCCAAATACGGTTAAATGATTATTAAGTGCTAAGACGAGACTGAACCAAAAAGTGAGGTGGTGGAATTGTCCTATATATCAGCAATGCGGTCGAATATAACTCTGTTGAAGAATATGTAAATCAGCATGATTTGGAGATGCTGCAGTGTCATTTGCTGGTCTCCAAAGCCGAAAACGTTACTATCGCCGTTGTATATAGGCCTTCAAATCAACCTGCCGACAAAGATAAACCGTTAATCACTCGACTACGCGAGGACAGTCCAAAGCAAAAAATTATTATTGTAGGAGATTTAAATGCTCTGCGGATTAGCTGGGACCTTATGACGGTTAAGGGCCACAGACAAGAATTCTACCAAATGCTATTAGACGTTGCATTTGATGAATTTCTGTTTCAACATGTACGAACTGTGACTCGGATGCGTGAAGGTCAGAGGACTAGTTGCCTAGACCTCGTGTTTACCATGAACGAGGGAAGCACTGATAAAATAAATGTAGGCTCGCCTCTAGGTTCTTGTGAGCACATGACATTAATGAAGGAGTCGAAAATCGTAGCTGTCCCCGAACGAAGCTCAAAGTCGTTAAGAAATGTCTGGCGGGGTAACTTTGAGGCAATAAAATCAGAGATTGGACACACACTATGGACGGAAGCATTGCGAGGAGATGTCAATGAATGTTGGACAACCTTCCAATCAACTATGCGAGAATTGATTGAACGATACTGTCCCATCAAGAAACATCCAACCGGAAATAAACCGAAATGGCTGACAACATCGGTTAAGAACGAAATCCGAAAAAAACGCAAGCTGTGGAAAATCTTCTTACAAACGAAGACCCCAGAAAAACTTCAGGAATTCAGACAACAACGAACCTTATGCAAAAGACTCATCCGAGAATTACGAGCTTCTTATGAACTGAAGCTCCTGGACGAGGCGCAGCAAAAACCTAAAGCGTTCTATGCATATGTCAGGAGCAATAAGAAAAACCGGCACCATCTGGCAACCTTTAAGGACAAAAATAACCTAATTGCGAGCGATGGCTTTCAAAAAGCCGAGCTTCTTTCCGAGTTTTCCAAAGTGTCTACACCACGGAACCATTCTTCCAGTCCTGTTCTCTTCCACTGCTCGCTAACCAACCACTTATAAGCACAGTATTTTTTTACTCCACAGTTAGTTTTAGCAGAGCTAAATAAGCTGGATCCGACCAAGTCACCTAGACCAGATGAGATCCCAGGTGTACTCCTACGTCAGCTAGCTGAAGAATTAGCAGAGCCACTTTCTAAAATCTTTCAAAAATCGTTGGAAGCTGGCAAACTACCTGACATATGGAAGTTGGCAAACGTAGTACCTATCCACAAGGGAGGATCACGGCTATGTCCCACCAACTACCGGCCGGTGAGTCTGACATGCATTTGCTGCAAAATAATGGAAAAGTTAGTTAAAAAATCAATTCCATCACTCGATACGTCCCGCTGTCACATCACTTCAGTTCAACATGGCTTCTGCGAAAAGAGGTCCTGCCTCACAAACCTGCTTTCGTCACTGGAACATTGGTCAAAGGCCATGGATGACGGACATCCAGTTGATGTCATTTACTTTGACTTCAGCAAGACGTTCGATTGCGTCCCACATAAGCGCCTCATTCAAAAGTTGTCAGAAGTAGGGATAAGAGGAAATCTTCTGAACTGGATTCAAGATTTCTTAAACGGTCGACGACAAAAGTCACTGCAGGTGACTACTGCTCAGAATGGGCACCTGTTACAAGTGGAGTCCCACAGGGGTAAGTTCTTGGGCCGCTCACATTCATTATCTATGTAAATGGCCTAGTACGGGAGGTGAAATCGGACATAGCGCTTTTTGCAGACGATCTTAAACTTTGGAGATCGATAAAAGATGAAGATGACGTCCAGATACTACAAGAGGATGTAGAGAATTTGCACGCATGGAACAAGAAATGGTGCAGGAAATTCAACGTCAAAAAGTGTACAGTAATGTACGTATTATCAACATGGCGAAGAACAAATGCACCCTCACGATCAACAGCTTAAAACCGTAGATGTGCAAAAAGATCTCGGTGTATTCATTAAAGACGATCTAAGCGTCACCACGCAGTGTTCTAAATTCACTGCGCGGGCAATGTCAGTTATGAGCGCGATACGCAGAACGTTTATTTACTTTAATAAAGACGTCTTTGGCAAAGTATACGGGACATTTGTGCGGCCGCACCTGGAATATGCGGTACAGGCTTGGCGGCCGTGGCTTCGGAAGGATATATATATCCTTGAAGGTGTACTAAGGCGCGCTACAAAGGCTGTTTATGGCCTCAAAAATTTTATGTACGAGCAACGTCTGACGACCTTGAACCTCTATCCCCTCCAATACAGGCCAGACAGAGGTGACCTCATAACAACGTTCCAGTTGGTAAAAGGACTTAATCTGGATGTCGACTGGGAAACGTTTTTTGAAATAGCACGCAAGTCTAATCTCAGACGACATGATTACCAGCTTAAAAGGGAACTGTGACACACAAATCAACGTTCCTCCTTTTTTCTCATAGAGCGTCATTCGCCAATGGAACTCTTTGCCGGAGTATGTTGTAAATTCCCCTACCGTGAACGTGTTCAAGAGACAACTGGATACTCACCTGCTGAAAGGCAGCCCGAATTGCCGAAGCCTGATCTAACGGATTACTAAGATGACTATAAATATACCACTAACAGGATATCAACAGATCCTTTTTAGTGCGTCAAACTTAGCCCATTTGGAAATTTTCACAGTCCGAATGCGGTGAACAAACTTTTTCGCAATTCTTTCATGAATACCATGCCCCTTTCGCCTTTGTGTTACATTAGTAGATTTATGAATTCTCCTTACTAAAACTGCAAGCAAATGTTTTGCAATTTAACTATTTTCCCTTATATCTGTACCCCCTAAATGGAGTTTTCAGGGCTTCTGTCGTTTACTCCAAATATACTGATTGACTGATACTGTCTGAAATTCGAAGGCGCGTTTCAGAGTTTTTTGATTTTCAGCTGAAACTATACACATCCAAAGCGAGATTCATCCTCGTATTCCACAGTTTCCGGCAATTACGCCTTTGGCGCGTTCTGCATTTTCCTTTCCGTGTAAAGTAAGCCAGTGAAGATCATTTTCACAAGGTTTTCCTTCAAGCGAATTGACGGCACTAGTCCTGCTGTCACAAACTTAAAATTGCTGAGAGTCCATAAACCTAGGCGAAGATGCATTTTCCTCTCCGAATCCATGACGAAAAATTCGTATTTTATATGATCAAATACGGTGTTTTCTTAAAAATGAATAATCAAACAATGCTTCTATGTGTTTACATCACTTTAAATAGACAAATTGCATGAAGTATATTTGGAAAGATCTCGACGGTTTGGAGGTCTCGAAGGCACTGAATAAAATCAGATTTTCAAGGATTTCGAACCTTTCGTTTTGTTTGGTCGTCCGCGCTTAATTTGGCTCCTTTGTCAGTCTAACTGGGCTGATAAACGAAGCGTGCTTGACTTTGTATTCTGACGAATTCTGATAGATAAAATTTTTCCTGAAGGACAGACAGTAATTCTCTACGTACGCTTCGGACGCCAATGTAAGGGACAGTAAGTTTGAAGTGGCATTCAAGCCGAAGTAGTCCTGGTTGGAGCTCAGAATAATACCGTTGTGCACCGTGGGCTCAGTTAATTTGGGAAGGGGGTTTCGGCAGTGTTCCCTAACTTCTGCTAGATTCGTGTTGGATTTCCAAAATGGAATGCGGCACAAATGTTCATGTGAAGTAATAACAGACGTGCCTAAAGTCTAATTGTGCAGAGCGGAGACCTGAGCGGTCTATTCCAGTCATGCTAAGAAACTCAACAACTTCCATGTCAGCTGTTTTTGCAGAATACTAAAGCTAAGATGACAACCCTGCCAGCACATTGCTTCTTCATAGGCGGGGCTGGGTGGGGCCAGAGCCCCGCCTGCCAGCACATGGCTCCTTCATAGGCGGGGCTGGAGGGGGCTGGGCGGGGCCAGAGCCCCCTCTGGATTGAAGCCTTTTGAAGCGTTTTTGCATCGAAAGATATGTTCCAAAAGCACCACTTATTGTACCTTCTTTGGAATTTAAAGGAGCTAATTTATCAAAATTGGCTTATAAACCATGGAGAAAGCATCCGTTTACGCCCACTGAATGTAGCTGCGGATGAGCACAATATATTGAGGTTTTGTTTAAGTCCCTCATTGCTTAAACTCTTATTTGTCCACCGGTTTACAATCTGTGTGTGTTATTAATTCGTATATTTGACAATGGGGACGATATTTTAAAGTGGTGCCAAAAGTGGGCTGGGATGTGGCGTCCCCTGCGCATTTTTTTTCGCTGGCGGGGCTAGGCGGGGCTATCGCGTTGCATGCCCCGCCACAGCCCCCTCCACAGCCCCGCCTAGCCCCCTCATAGCCCCCTCTAGCCCCGCCATTATTGAGGGGGCCAGGCGGGGCTAGGCGGGGCTGGTGCTGGCAGGGAAGACAGGATCCCCGACACGAAAGTTCTAGAAATGACCGGGATTCTCAGCATCCACGCCATGCTAAGGCAACTGCAATTACGTCGGAGTGGTCACCTCGTGAGGATGGAAGACACGCGTCTACCGAAACAACCGTTCTTTGGTGATGTCGCCACAGGTACTCATCGACCAGGAAGACGAAAACGGCGCAACAAGGACGCATTAAAGCGACTGCATACCAACCCAAAACGTGGAAGGATCCCGTCCAGAACAGCTCGGCCTGAAGGAAAAAAGTGGAGACTGGTGCCGCCATCTACGAAGAGAATCGGATCGCCACTGCCAAAGCCAAACGGAAGGCCAGCAAATCACAACTGCCTCGCCTCCTCAATGCTAATTATCTGTCGCTTTCAATATGCCCGTGCTGCCAACGAACACCCCGCTCACGAATTGGTCTCGTGGGACACCTTCGGAGCTAACGATCCGTCAACACGACAAGGTTTGACTTTTCTCCCAATTGCGCCCCTCCCACAAGTCCCGCGCTGACCGCCATTCCCGTCACCGCAAATCACACTGTCGCTGCCATGCCGTCACCATTCACTGACAGCATCCGCCGCGTTCAAACCCCTGCATCGACCGCTACGGCCGGCAACACTACTTGACTTCACGCAGTCTCCCCATCGATCGGACGAAGTCTAAAGTCCCGCCACCTGCTAATACCACTAACAACATTCCTACCCTCAGCGAAGTAGAATCGGTTCCAGGCTGTCCTCATCGCGATCGCACATTTACTTCACAAAGCAGCCTGGTCGGTCACTTGCGAATCCATCGCCCAGAGACTGGCGAACCAGTGTCTGTAACGCCAACCTACACTCACCGCATCCGCCTCCACTGGTCTCACTGCACCCGCACATTCATTCGCTGCATGGGCCTATTAGGTCACGTGTGTACCCACGAAAACATGCAGTAGAAAATCGCCTGCTGCCTACACTTATCTCCACCAGCATCTGCGTCATATAACAACATCTTCTATCATCACAAAACGCAAGGACTCAATCGCCACCTCCCACTCAAGTGGGAAGTTTGCTTCACGACTCCGTCTCCTTGCGGCTCCTCTACCGCATGCGTGGTCCGAGTCTGAGACTATTACGGTGCGCCAAGCTCCGTAGCTTGTAAGGCTGCCAGCTGACACCCCAAATCAGTCCTCAGTCTGGTCAATTGGGTATGCTTATGTGGAGTGGCGGACTGGTGGGCTGAGATCTAGGCTGTTACAGCTGCTTCTGAAAGTGATCCATGGAAGTCTCACGCATGCGAGGAGTATGTGTCACTTAGAGGGTAGTGTCTTTTCGTCGCTGACTGACTGCTTACACAGCCTTTGAGGGATAATGGCCCAAGCAAATGCAGGGCTGTCACATTTCTCGTTCCCCAGGTTTAAGAACGTCTGCTTTGCCCTGATCAGCAGATCATGGTTCTCACAGACTGGTGTACGCTGGCAGCTCTCCGGTATCTGGTTCTCTGTCGGTAGATGCGCCTGCGATGCCGCTGGATACGCAGGTCGTGCGCTTGGCTAATCGGTCGTCCACGTCCTTTCGGTTGTTGTTGGTTAAAATACTGGTCAAGTGTTTGTTGTGGACCAAGGGATGTTGAGTAGGACGCCAAGGTGCGGATTCGGCCTGCGCTTTCCCCGCCTCCGGTCTTTTTGACTCTGTCTTGGAACCGGCTCCAAGTGGAGAGGAGGGGAAGTGCGGTAGATGCTACGCAAGTCCACTTCCATTATAAACTAATTCGGGCATATGTCACCTCGCCCGCTTGGCCTTACTGCGGAGCGCACGGAGAACATCGTCGGATGCGACTGTCGGACTATCATCAGTACTCAGTCGTAAAGCTTGTGCGTTAGCAGACTGACTTTGTAATCCTCGGCTCTGAGCCTCGGGAAGTGGTGATACCGAGGGATAACCAAAAATTTTCACTATGTAAGCAAAACATTAGATTCTTTTGGCAGACCGAACATGACAACTACCCGTCTAAGGCAAGCAAACTATGCCTTGCTTACCTCAGAATCGAACCATGATGGGCTAGCTTGAGTACAACCAAAGGAAAAAATTTGCTAACATATCTGTCACCATTGTCTACGCACCAACGTCAACAACCAACTGATGTGAAGAGGCCTCCTACTTGAAAATGGCAGCTACTTAAGAGACCCTTGTCGCTGATCGTTTCCAGAGGAATGGAATGGCCGGGACCTGTCAGACGTTTCTTCAAACAAAAACTTTAGTTCATAGAAGCGAAAAGGCGATCCACAGGAATCAGTTCAGAAGACGAAGATGCGATCACTGAAACAAGGAATTTATTGGTCTGACGTTTCGGATTCTCGCTCGAACCCACCAGTCGCAGATAAGGGTATTGATGTCACAAGGAATACAGTATTTATATCACGTGGCTGCCGCGGGATCATACGTGCACTGTAATTAACAGCTCTCACAATTACCGCTGTGGTCGTAAATGATGCGATGGTGGCTTGTCCGTCCGCGTCCAAGTCGTTAATAGTAGTGATTTTTTCATCCGTGTTGGATGCTGGTGTGACGATTGCTCAGCAAACTGGATCACTGTCACTGGGATAATTTATCGCCGCGCCCTCCCCACGTGACTGATTCTCCTGCCCCGGGGAAAATCGCAGCACGGAATGTGGTACCGGGAGGTCATTGTGCCTGTTGATAGATTGCGGGCCTGAGAACCACGACTCCAGGAGCTCGCGGCTCACGCGGTTGTCACCCCTTGCGAGAATTTCCACCTCATGAAAATTGAAAATATGGACTCGTCCCGTCGAATGAGCCGCCACATGAGAGCTAGCGTTTCCCCGCCTTACTGCTGCTGGGTGCTCGGCAATTCGCGTCCGGAGTAATCTTCCAGTTTCTCCGACGTCGCTGCATTGTCGAAAATTGTACCAGATCCGGTAAATGACTTCTGACGTTTCCTGCAGTGGCAGTGGGTCTTTCGGTCTCATGACTTGGCGCCTGATGGTTGCTTCCGGCCTGTGTACAACCCAAACTCCAAGCGGAGTGAAAAGACGACCGACGGCTTCCGAGACGTTCTTCACGTACGGAAGAGCCCGCCAAAAGTTTGGGCGGTTGTATACGGTCTCTGGTGTCGTCGTCGTATGCGCTGGTTGACAACGTTGCGCGGGTAGACATTGGCTTTCAGTACCCACCAAAGGTATTGTAATTCAGCAACCTTGTTTTCCATTTCACTGCAGTGCGTCTCAAAGCGCCGGTATAGCGCCCTTACGCAACAGCGTTTGGCACTGATCGGATGGTTGATGTTTGAATTCAGTATTTGCGTCGTATTTGTCGCTTTCCTGAACACTGTTTTTAAGACCACTACAATCATTGCGTTCAACGAGGACATCCAGGAAAGCCAGCTCGTTGTTTTCCTCCTCCTCCTCCTCCTCCTCCTCCCCCTCCTATTCCTCCTCCTCCTCCATCGTAAATTGCATGTCCGGGAAGGCGGCGTTGAGATGTTCTTCGAATATCAGCACCTGATCCCCTTCGATGACGACGAAGGTATCATTCATATTTAAAGCCCAGAATCTCGGTCTGTGGAGTTGGAAAACCAGCGACTCCAAGGGGTGACAACCGCGTGAGCCGCGAGCTCCTGGAGTCGTGGTTCTCAGGCCCGCAATCTATCAACAGGCACAATGACCTCCCGGTACCACATTCCGTGCTGCGATTTTCCCCGGGGCAGGAGAATCAGTCACGTGGGGAGGGCGCGGCGATAAATTATCCCAGTGACAGTGATCCAGTTTGCTGAGCAATCGTCACACCAGCATCCAACACGGATGAAAAAATCACTACTATTAACGACTTGGACGCGGACGGACAAGCCACCATCGCATCATTTACGACCACAGCGGTAATTGTGAGAGCTGTTAATTACAGTGCACGTATGATCCCGCGGCAGCCACGTGATATAAATACTGTATTCCTTGTGACATCAATACCCTTATCTGCGACTGGTGGGTTCGAGCGAGAATCCGAAACGTCAGACCAATAAATTCCTTGTTTCAGTGATCGCATCCTCGTCTTCTGAACAACTTTAGTTACCGTCCTTGGTTCTGACTCTAGATGCACAATAGGAGAAGCATTTTGGGTTTTGATGCCCAGAATCTGTTGCTTGTCACCAGCAGGTTCTACCATTATCGCTGCAAACATCTGGTGATCAAACTTTTGGACTGAAATTATTCGGCCAACTTGACTGGCGGCATTCTAGACAGCTAAAGGTTGTGCAGCCGGTCTTTCAAACGTAGGCGCCTGGTACCGAAACGAAAGCGCCTGTAGGTCCGACTATGTTCCAATACATATATGATGACTTTGTCGCAGTGTATACTACACCAAAGACTGATTATTGAAAAAATGAACATATGACGGAGTTATTCCGATGACGTTGACAGAATGTAGACTAAATATTAATTCTAACTCCGACGTTACATCCTGAAAGCACTTCCAACAAGTTCGTCAAGTGGTTTTGAATGGACTCAGTGAGAAGAGTTACCTTTGCCGAAAATGTGAGGAAATGATACCATCGGACGCATTTGCTCGTTAGCCGATAAGATACCCATGGACACACCCGATCGGAACAACTCACAACTGCGCGTATGCAAAGTCCCAACGCCCATTTAGTTCAATTAGGACGCATTAGTCTTGCATTGGGAAGCATGCATACTTCTGGACCGTTACCGACAATGGGCAGGTGTGAATCACAGTGTCCAACCTAGCCTTGAAAACGTTAACGTTTGGGGACCTGATTGGAAAATCAAAATAGCCTCAATCGTGCAATAGTTCACGAAAACTATGTGCGCCTCACCTGATGGGTACCGTACTATATTTTTGATACGTACTAACTTACCGTCACTGGCAACAGACCCATCCGAGGGCGTTGTGCCAGTGACCGAGTTGCTTCTTTGTCTTATTTTGTACTGCGTAACCGATCCATCTTAGGACGGCAGTGGGCCTTAAATATGTTCATGCCTACTTGTCCATTCCGTTGGAATGCAGACATCACGCCTTACACACTGTAGTTCACCTAATTGACGCGCTACTTGCTGCAGCGGTTGTGACGGCTTCCTGAGCAGTCGTTTGAGCCTCCCTAGATAACTTTCGAATAGAAATGATGAAGAGCTGTCCAATAGACCATGTCGTAAGACATCGTCCAGTAGGTGCAGAATGCTGTAAACATTGTACACAATTTCTCCTTTAGCATACAAGACTGCATACTTCCCCACAAACATTCTCCATATGCATCTACCGTAAGGTACCCATTTACCGAAAGATCGCGGCTGAACTAGGCACCGCACTGCTGTAAACAGCAGTAGGAAATGTCATGCATTGCCCCTGCACGCTGTGAAAATTCCGGCGGAAGGAAAGCATTTAGGGAACGCAACCTGGCAATGATCTGAAAAACTTCTGATGTCATCCGAAAAGCAGTTTCCTTGGGCCTCGAAGCCACTAATAAGTAGCCTCTTCATTACACCTAAATACACTTAATGCAGAGGATCTAGAGGAAATTCACTAATCATCCCAACGTTACATGCCAAAAAGGGTGACAGGCCTGTGTGATGGGGTTGTCTGGCGCAGAAAAAAATCCCCATCCACCCTCAGTGGCTCTGTGACGCCATCGTATACAACCTTGTCTACATAATTACCTTTAATTTAGCATCGCTCACAGCCGTAGGAGGCATTGACATTCCTAATTTGCCTACTAAACTCCCTAGTTGGAGCATCACATATGACAGCAGCTAAGCGGACATGCAGGGTTTCGTCAGTCGAATGGACATGCAAGCTATTCTTGGGCAATGATGATAACTCATCCACCAACGGTTTGCAGAATGCTTGGACGTCCGGCGGCTTGCCTACACCGCAGTAGATTACTACAGCAAAAACTGCGCTGACTATGGGTTCCATAATCCTACATAAAATTGGTCAAAAGTCAAGCTTTGTCTTCCGGGGAATAGGAAGACCATCAATAGATAGACATATACCTATCTCAGGCAATGGACACTGTGGAAATGGGTAAGATAACTGGTCAGTCAGTTGTCTTATCAGGCCCGAATGAACATACTAACCACTGCCTATGGCCGTAAACGGCGCAGAGTTGCTGGCGCTACCCAGCAGCGTGCGTGCGTCCGATGGGAGCTCGGCGTGGATGGGCTTGAGAATCTTCAGCAGACTATTCACATGAGTGTGAGCCGTTTGTGAGTGTGCAGCCCACTTGCTCAGGGACTCATGCAAGGTTGGCTTTCCTTCCACTACAACAGACTGGGAGAGCTCATTTCGTTCGCGGATGCGTTGTCTATTTCAAACTCCAAGTCATCGGAGGAGGAAGACGACTCCATAGACATTGTCGAGCTGTCCGACGATGTGCACGACGGTGAGGTGTACGACGGTACCATTCGCCTCACCTTCTCGCTGCTATTTCTTATGTTTTCAATTGCTTTCCGTCGTAAGTGACGTCGACAAGAGCGGCTGCTTTCACCTTTAAACACAATGGGAATAGTTCTGCGAAAATTCCCATATTACACTTGAAGAGTCAATTGACAAACATGTTTTCAGTAATTCATCATCAGGCCAGTACATTTACATGGGAAATGATCAGTCTAATTGTCGACTGGTTATAAATGCGTCTCAGAAGCAGAGTTAATCGGATTCCACGTTCACACGCCACCCGCATAACGGAGTCAACGTGCTGAGAACGGTGGAGTTGGGGTGGGAGGGAAGGGGGGGAAGGAGTTGGAGTGGGAGGGGGGGAAGTAGAGGGGTTCCAAAAGAAGAGGGGGCGTTCACCGGGAGGGGTTTATTTGAGATCCGACGCTTGGGGTAGTTTATTCGTCTACCCATCTTCAGGGACTGGGACGTCCCGTGCGCAGCACTCCTTATTATGGCACCCTTTGTCCAATGCGTGATCCACTAAGGCCGCCTGTGTGGCTGCAGCCAACCCGCATGTCACCGTGACCTGAATCGCCCCCGTCGGCCGCGGTGATGACTGACGGCCCCGATTGTCCCGCGCCGTGACTGTCCCCCGCTAAGAAGGTTCGTAAAGTCAGATAGGGGGGGGGGAGGGGGCAAATTGATGTGGCGGTCGACAGAGCGGTCGGTGGACATTAAGGCTTCTTGCACTTGCCTTGCTGTGTGATCGTTGCCCCGGCCCACAATCTCAACGGTGTCAAAGTTGAAGATGTGTCCCATTTGCGCAGCATGGGTTGCTACCTCCGACTTTGGGTCCAACCTTCGCACGGCCAACCTATGCTCGTGCATTCGCGTTTGCGGACGTCGGCCGGTTTCCCCAACGTAGTTGCAACTTCCACAGCTGCATTGAAGTCAGTAGACAACGGCCGACATCTCTTGTCTCCGGTTGGACTGTAAGCGCTGTGAGTGCGAGTGACTGCTCCCCGTGCTTCGGGACGGCGTGCGATCACCGTCTGCAGTCGGCCAGGGCAGACATACTGCTTGTGTCAGAGTCGTCTGACAACAGAGTGCTGGGTTCGCCAGTCGAATGGCCACTGCTTCGGCTGTGGCAGATAGAGAGCGGGGCGAGAAAAGGAGGAAAAGGATTCCGACCAAACTGAACGTCCGCACGGCAAGGTTGGAGAGCAGGAGGTGCTGCGCAGGGACTGCCTGAGCCCGCTGGAGCACCGGATGTTATCGATTAGCATGTGTCAGTCGATTGCTACCCTGGCAACGTTATCGCGGCGCACATATCTACCAATCAAATCACAGATACGTTTTGGGGCGCGAACGCAGATATTTGTGAGCTCGATACGCCAATTTTGCTGCTAAGTAACTGTGTTGTCCGGATGAGAAACTTCTTCGGATGATAGCACAGTTAGGAATGAAGGCGTCATTAGGCGGAAGTAAACGAATCAAACGTTTGGGATATTTTAAACCGGACAGGCGACAAAATGAGTTTGGAAACCGCGACGACCGCAGTAACCCTTTAGAATATTTTCACACCAGTTGGGTACCGCATGGGGAAAATGTTCCTTGTGCGGTTACGCGAGCGCGCGCGCATTAAAAATAACTGCTTATAGGCAGAATACCATTATCGGCAATGACAATGGAGACTGGATTGACCGCCTCTGGCTTATTAGCCACCATCACAGTCATATCCATCCCCAGGTTTTGCAAACCCTGAGGCTCCATCCTGCGGCCTATTGGTTAGAAGTCCTACGCGGGTTCGTTATCCTGTCCGTTGCGAACATGTGTATGGACAGTGATGGGAGGACACGATGGTAATATAAATACTGAAATATCCCTGAAGTGGCTAATTAAGCGCACGTCCTACTCTCAAATAACGCATTAACAGAATGCACACTGCGTGCAAGTTTTGACACATTATGCTTTCAAGTTGAAATGTTCGCCTGAATACGAGCCTCCAACAGCCGCATGTAGAATATTCGCCTATGCCTGGAAATAGATGTGTTAAAACAAAGGGCAGTGTTAGTAATTATTACCACGTTTTGGGCATCAGACTACGCAGATTTGCAAGTTAAAATCTTTGAAGAAAAGAAAACTTAAGATTTTTGAG